TATATATATAAAAATTATATTTAGTGTGATTTTCAATCAAAACATTAAAATAAAGAAAATCCACTTCTTTGATCCTGACCTACAGGTAAAATAGAGGTGTCTGTAACATACACACAATACAGAAATTCACATTACAAAACAGCCTCAGCTTGCATGTGCTACATCTTCTTACAACTGGCAAGTCCCATGGTTTCAAGTCAACTGGAAGGGCTTACTTCCAGGTTATCATTTTGCGGGATAGATCACATGGTGATCTGCAGACATGCTGGAAAAATGTAAGCAGCCAAAAAAAGCATTTCTGTAGAAAACAAAGCCTTTAGATTGGCCTGCACTATGCAATAGCTATCCTTGAGCTTACCACGTGTATCATATTCTGTATCAGCAGCCAACATATAACAGAATGTGCTGAAAATTGCACAAGAAAGCAATAGTGCTGTGATCAGCTGCTGTCCAGGGTAAAATGTTGAAGGATAAGTGTTCTTTCCTACAATAAGCAAAAGTTGCCAAACTGTAAAGCTAACTATGTACCTTTTCCAGGAAAACAATATGGCATTCATTTCTCTGCCAGTACAGGACAAGAACAGTGTTTAAATCCTCTGGTGCTCCTGATCAGATGCATACTTCCCATATTTACATTTTTGGTATAGTTATCTTTTAATATTCTATGTGGTGGCTTAAAATAAAATTGTGTTTTCCATGCACCACACTACACTGCTAAGATTAAAATGGACAGATCACACAACATTGTCAGCAGAGAGGGAGAATTTGTCTATACAAATCAGGTTTAAATAAAAGGGACCATTTCCGTACAATAATAAAAATGTTCTGCAGGGATAAAATGTTGTTTCACCTTGACAGAAGAGGTTAAACAAACTATCACAGCGTGCATTGGGGCAGGTAAATATAAAGAAGAGTTACTCATTACTACGGCTTGAGAAATATACACAGCACTCATCTTTACTTGACTTGTTTAATGCTCAATTAAATCCACATAAGTATGGATTAGTAGAATTCAATTGTACAAAATACAAAAAAATCTGTTTCACGCAAAACCCAGTACCACTGAGCTTAATCACAGGGTTTCTATCACCCTGGACTTATAAAGTATTAATGATGATTCCATGAACCTGGGATACTTTAAGATGGGGTTGTTCTTTAAGAGCACAGTGAAATCAAAGACGGTAAGTAATATACATAATGCATATTTTCTGTTATGACTCAACAGACATGTCCAATGAGAAAAGTTAAAAATGTTTGATCATTACTATGAAGTATTTTGTTTCCCCGAGTTATCGCTTCTCAGACATTTTTTTACGCATGCATTTTCCCCATGACTGCATATAAAATTTAAAGTGGATATTTAAAGTGATTCTGCCATATTAGAAGTAGGGGGCTGCTATTGGAGCCCTCCTGAAAATGCTAGATGGCTGGTTGTGTCTGACTGGTATGCTTCAGTCAGTCACCAAACCAGCATGGTGTAAATAAAGGTCAGGTAAATAGCAGAACTACATATGTCTATACTTGTTCCAGATCAGCCACTCAGACAGCACTGAAGTCAAAACATCGGAATGAGAGGCAGAGAACCATTGCTCTCAAGAGAGTTCAGTAATGACAGCCTCCTTTAATATCTCATGACAGTGTCCCTTTAAAAAGTGTGTAATGACTTTCTTTTACCCATTGGCATAGTGTACCTTCCCCACTGCTAGCAGAAGTGGTTCCTTTTGCAGACACTGAAAATTTGTATATCTGTTGCAGCTTTTATAGCAGAGCCAATTAGTCAACGCAAAAAATATAAAGGATAACTGTACGCCCAAAGTCTTATACTGGCATATCCATACTCCTGACATATCTTCACTGTGCAGCCCAGTGGATGCATCCCAGCGGAGATTCATCCACGCATGCTCAGAAGAAGCAGCTGCTGGCAGGCAGTGGTAACTGTGAGGCTCCCGGTGGGTTGCACAGTGAAGATCTGACAGGAATGAGGATGGTGGGTATAACAATTTGGGGGATTGCTGAAAGAAAGGTGGTGGGGTGTTGTAAAGGATAACTGTACCAATAAGTTCACCAATTCTTTAAATTTATAGATGGAGCATGGATTTCAGAAACTTGTGTATTTGTATTAAGGGAAACTTATTTTGTTTATTTTGTTTAGGTTTGTAACATTTCAAACTGTTTTAAATCTGTGTTTTTATAATGCAATGAAGTCACCATGACTGCAGATTAAACTTTCCGGTAAAGGTTTTAAAATACAGTAAAAGACTTAACACCAATGAAAATGTGGTTAATGTTACATTCACAGCTTTAGAAATATGCCCCTCTGCACAGATAAATGTATATTTGTAAAAAATAAATAGAAGGACAAAAGATCTCCAGAGCACTATGGG